TTCTTTCTCTCTCTCTCTTCTTTCTATTTACCAGTTTCAGTCCACTGAGGTTTCCGCGGACTTTATCCTGGCCTTGAGGCATTCTCTCTCTCTCTCTCTCTCTCTCTCTCTCTCTCTCTCTGTCTCTCTTTGTGTCTCTGTCTCTGTCTCGCTTTGTAAAAGAAAAGCAAACTTAAAAGGCCTATAATTAAGCGGAAATGTAAATCCTTCTGCAAGCTAAGAGCTTAACAAAGTACGCCTCAGCTTCTCAAGCTTCAGCTTCTCAACATAAAATTTTTAATTTGAATCAGCGCAAGTGCAAACGTCACAAGACATGCATCGTTAATTTGCTGTTCCTTTGAGAAAGCTGAGATTTGCTATATATTTTCCTCTCATAATAACACTAAAATATTTCCCCATCAACACCTCCACGAAAGGAAAATATAATTAATTGGGATATTTGTCAATTGAGTGGCAACTAAAATGTCGCCGTAGTCATTTCAGTTTGTGCTGTGGGCCATCTACTTTTGCAAGCTATTTAAATCAGAACCACCCGGGTGTTCTTCAGACCAGAATGTATAAACTTTATGGGGATATTAAACAGTTCGTCACGATTTTTTTCTAAAAGCCAAACTGTTTTGTGCGTTAGACCCTGAACGTTTGAAGTGAGCGGCTTTACCATGCAATTAATTGCTTCATAGATACTCAAAAATGTTACCCACTGAAACTTTATTACCCTCAAAAGGGTGTCACGGTAACTCATTTGGTATCATGTTAGACTCATGAGCGGCTCCTGGTCTGAATTCCCAAGGAGGCGTTCTTGATGTGTTGTTGCTTTGGGACAATCACTTCGGAGCTCCCGCCTATTTTTGTTTTAGTAAGGTTTTACGGCGCCCACAACTGAAGGTCATCTGAGCGCCAAGGGGTGGATGTCAACAGAGAAGTCCTAATGGAGAACCGGGCTTACTCTCTTCACCTCTCTAGCCTCAACAGCACAAAGTCTGCTTCGACTATCAAGGCACTCTGGAAATAGCTGTTCACAAGAGAGTGACAAACATACAAAAGAAGTAGAAGAAAAATGACGATAGTAAGAATGAGGAAAGAAAAAGCAGCAGTTCCCCCTAAGCTGTTCCGGCACAGCATGAGCCTGACATTGATACATCAACCAGTTTTTTCCGCCTAGGAAGTAACATTTTACTCAGTATCGAAAGAGGCACACTCTACACTAAATATCATACAATGCACATTATGTTAACAGTTCAAGTGTAATTATATGACGTAACCATGGTGGTCAGGGTTATTAAATTACGATAGTACGACACCACTATATGGAAGCTTATTCAATATGTGTCATGAAAGTAAAGTCTGCGAGTACGTTTTTATTTATTTATTTATTTATGTATTTTTTTTATTCATTCATTCATTCATTCATTCATTCATTCATTCATTCATTCATTCATTCAATCATTCATTCATTCAATCATCCATTCATCCATTATTTATTTTGATTTATTCATTCATTTATTTATTTATTTATTTATTTATTTATTTATTTATTTATTTATTTATTTATTCACTTAGTTGTTTCTTTCTTTCTTTATAACCAACAGTCTTAAATGTTTCCTCTGTGCTGTTTCAGGAGACCTGCTAGTGACGCTGGCCCGTCGCTCGGACACCGGTCTGTACACCTGTGAAGCCATTAACGAGGAGGGCATTGATACAGCCAGCTCCTACGTCAGCGTAGCAGGTGAGTAGGGGAGGGGGGGAAGAGACAGCTGGCACTGAGGGGATTTCTGGGCTGAAGAAAGTTTTAACGTGTGTAGTGGAAGAACGGGGGTAGATGATAGGGTAGTTGGGGAAGAGATGATCTTTCGAAGACCTTGTTGACGACTTGACCAGAGGGGCAATCTTTTGTCTTCGTATACAATGTTAGTTCCCGTCTCTGTCAATTCTTATCCCCTTTATACAGATGCCTTAGCTTGTACTTTTTTTCCTTCTTTTTGATACATTCTCTTACCTCCCCCCCTCCCCCAATCTCTCTCTCTCTATCTATCTATCTATCTATCTATCTATCTATCTATCTATCTATCTATCTATCTCTATCTCTCTCTATCTCTATCTCTCTATCTATCTATCTATCTGTCAATCTATCAATCTATCTATCTATCTATCTGTCTGTCTATCTATCTATCTATCTGTCTATCTATCTATCTATTTATCTATCTATCTATCTATCTATCTATCTAAAAATGAGAGAGAAAGAGAGAGAGAGAGAAAGAGAGAGAGAGAGAAAGAGAGAGAGCGGAGAATGGAGTTAGAGAAGGAGAGAGCGCAAGAGAGAGCGGGGTGGGGGGAGGGGCGAGCGAGCGAAAGAGAAATAGAAACAAAGATAGACAGAGAGACACACGCACAGAGAGAGAGAGAAGAGAGGAAGAGAGAGGGGGAGAGAGAGAGAGAGAGAGAGAGAGAGAGAGAGAGAGAGAGAGAGAGAGAAAATGCAACCCAAACAAATACAAACCAACGCACAAACGCAATAACAGACACACACACACACACACACACACACACACACACACACACACACACACAAATACACGTGTGCATGCATGTGCATAACTTTACTGTATCATTGTGTCCAGAATTTATGTAACCTTTGTAGCATGAGTGAGTATGCACGACCATCTAGCCTCTCCGTCTTCGTGAACGTTTGAATAAGCTAAACTGTTTCCCCATACGTACTCCTGAAATGGAGGAGGTTTCCCTCTCTTGTTGATTTGCCACGGTTTTTTCTTTCCTTTCATCAGACTTCTAGGCACCAACATACTGTCTTTAATGTTTTGCTCAATATCTTTCCTGACCACGTGTCTTCAACTTTTCGATTTGCCCTTCTCAGTTCTTTTGCAAAGATATATTAGTATCATATTTTACGGAAGGCCGATGCGGACTGCTCGCCGGAACTGCAAGGGTAAGGGGTTTTAAAATACGGAAGTGATCTTTATTGTTTTAAGAAATCTCAAGTTGCATGCCCAACACCCCTAAACAGCCCGATATATACATGTAATAATATCATCTGATACAACGTTCTTGTGGGAGGGCGGCAACTCTTCCATTTGATTGAGAAGCTGGATTTTTAAACAGTTGCCTCCTTTTGAGAGCCAGCTGCTTTCGTGAATGAATAAAAATGTTTGGTCTGTGAGTACATTAAAAATTCTAAACTCTAATGCAGTCTCCTTCTATGATATTTCTAATTCACTTTTCTAATTCTATGTTCTTAAAATATAAACTCACTATGCCTGACACATTACATTAATAGGCGACGCATAGAAGGAAATTTAATCCGTCTTTGTTATCTATTTGTCAATTGCTATTCTTTCAAGAGAAAAAAAAATAAGATCAGCTATGTAGCTATAGGAGTATAAACTCAAAATACACATTTTCCTTTCTTCACTTCCTGCCTGCCCCTTTTTTTAAAATCCAAGTTATTCATCTCCTAGCTCAACTTTCTTCTTTTTCCCCTCCAGAGTACACGTCTGGGTGTGCAGACGACAGCACTGACGGTCTCCACATGCACAGTGACATCCAGGCGTGTGCGGGTGAGTGGAAGGGTCACGTGAAGTCCGCCAAATCACTATGTGCTCGCGGCTGGAGGGTGTGTAATCCTCGTGACCAACGGAGCCTCAAAGAGATCACGTCCTTCGAGATGTTCGACCTGTCTGGCTGCTACGCTTACAATGCCGCCAGTCGGAAGAACAAGTGTAAGAGGTAAAGAATGTCCTACCTTCATTTTTTAAAAATTCATTTTCTATTTCGTTTTCTTTCATTTATTCATTTGTTGGTTCATTTGTTACTTTATGTTGCTAGTTTTGTTTGTTTGTTATTTTTTGCGGGGTTTTTTTGTTATTGCTGTTGTTGTTGGGAGGGTGTGTGTGTGGG